GCTTGACTCACAAATGTCTCACAGTGAATAAGAATGACCAGGGACATCTGAAGCTGCACTTAGTCATTTTAGCACTTACACTCAACACCCAGCTCCAACTGCCAACGAGCACTACAGGAGAGCCACTGGAGATGAGCTGGTATTGTAGGCTGATAGATATTAACTTGTGTATATTACTTTATAGATTAGATCACAGTTTTAATTAATGTGGGGTTAGACAAGTACAAAAAAATTCAATTATTGGTAGTTATAGTCAGTGGTGAAAGGTGCATTGTGTAACTTTTCTAGTGTTTGACAGTATGATATTTTCATGAAGGCCAAATCAGACCAAGTTACAGTATTTATTTATTTATTTAGCATTAGGATTCGCTCACTCGACGATAAGCGAGTACATTTTTTAATTTTACCATTCGCTGCTATTTGGTCATGACATATGCAATGCGTCGCCAACGGGGCCGAACTAGTATATTAAGCTTTTCCCAAATACCGTAGGAAGAAGGACAATAACGTCTTTCCTAGGAGTGTAACAATATCCAAGTCTTATGATACGATATTGTCACGGTATGAACCTCACGGTATGATATCGTGGGAAAGCTCATGATATGGTGCGGAGGCTGACCATTCGGGATATAACAATATAACAATATCCAAATCTCACGGTACAATATTTATTGCGATATTCTGTGGAGGCTAAACAGCTAAAACTGTTGCCTTGGCAAGTCTTAATCCAAAGAACTAAGACTTAAAAGTGTTTAGAACTGTTATTTCTTCTTGTAGTCTGCACTGAAATGGAGCAAAGGATCATGGTCTATGTAGTTCCCTTTGTCTTTTATTGCTGCACCATAACTCTTAACTCTTTAAACAAAGAGACTTGTCATTTGATATATTGTGAGGGTCCATGATATTATTGTGAGAACTTTGACAATACGATATCACGATATTTCGATTATTGCTACATCCCTAGTCTTTCCCCTTGATAAAATTCAACAAAAAATCTCTTTGTTCCGACTTTAAATCCTCGATCTCGGGAATTGTTGCCAACACAGAATGTATGGCTCTTCGCTGATTGGCTGGTGCCCGAACTTGCACTTCTGGGGTTCTTGAAAACTGTTTAGTGTATTCTGATTCCTGACCTAGTCGCTGGAGAGAAGCCTGGCTACCTTCCACCAGAAAAGTTACACAATGCACCTTTACGTAAAATGTTTATCTATACTTATTGTGGGTATTTTTTACTTTTACTTCACTACATTTGAAGACAGGTATTTGTACTTTCTATTCCAATTCATTTTTGATCTGGACTGAAAAGTAAAAGTACTTTTCTTTATGGTTTGATACCTGTTGAAATGTCTAGAACTTATTTTCAGTGCATTTAATTTGAGTTAACGTCTCAAGTTTGAGCAAATCATATAAAAAAAAAACAGAACTACAGAGCAACAGAAATTAAGAAATTAATTGAATCAGTTAAAAACAGCAAAATTCTTTATCAAAAGCATTACATTTCATGCTTTATTTGTAAAGTAAATTAGTAAATTAGTCAATTAAAAAATCTGAATGAAATATTAGAACTGGTGCTACAGCAATTAAAACTTAAAATTAATGTTTGAACCACGTCAGGTCACTGAATACATGTTATTCACTCAGATGCTCTTGACATCATCTCCTCCCACACGACACAAAGTTAGTTGTATAAAAATAACTCTAGCTATTCCACGTCATTTTAAAAAGTGAAGACAAACTTATTGTGCTTTCTGCCCACTGTATTTTTAACTAGCTGAGTGGCACTTGTGTTTGTATCTGCTAAAAGGGAAGAGTCTAAAAGATTAATATTAATGAAACCAGTTTTAATATTACAACATGGAGGTGATGACTTTGAAATGTTGCTAAAGTAAATATAATGTTGTTGATTAGACTGGGATTAATTTGGTGTTGCACTACTGAAATATATTAAAATAAAAATAATAGTATAGTTAATTGACGCTGAATTACTTTAATAACCAATATAAATCCATCAGTGTTATATTTGAATTGATATGTAACTATAGCAACCCACATATGGAATAATGACATGTGACTTCACCTGACAACACCTGGCAACATGTTCCATCCACATTCTATTACTTTATGACATCATCAAGGTTCTACGGAAGCGTGTGTAAGGGTAGCACAAATCTGTATAAAGTCAATTGAACTCAGCCTTCGAACGAAACGCAGAGATCCACTTCAGACAAACATGTGCAAAGATTGGTGTGATTACACGAGTGAAGACGACGAACTCCTTTACAGCCAGGAGTTCAACTTGATGGAGGAGTTGGAGGAAACACCCACCAACCCACATCAGGCCCCTGGACCATCGGACCAGGTGATCCGCTCCTTTCTAACTCTGGAGGAGTTAGAAAGAGAGCAGCTTGGACCTCGACAACAACAGAGGTCTAAGGAGGAAGAGGAGAGGGGCATGGCCTTAGTCATGTCTCGACTCCAAACTTCCTTTAAAGCTGCTCAGGTTAGAACCAGAGAGGAGCAGCTGCTCAAAGAGTTGGAGGAGCTCAAGAAGCTTCGTGAGAGAGATCGTGACCAGCATGAGGAGGAAAAGATACAGTTATTGAGGAAGATGAAGCTCATTATTGTAGGTAATGAGAGACAAATGCACGGCCTCAAGTCTCAGGTCACAGAATTGACACAGACGTTGGAGCAAATGCAAGAAGATTCCTGCAGAAAATCCAAAGACTGGGAGATGGAAAAGCAGAGACTCCAGAAGGACTCTGCTGATCTGAGATCCAGGCTGCAGGAAAAATGTTCAGAGAATACAGCTCTGAAGGTGGAGGCTGAGCAAAATGTCCAGATGCTCCAGAAACTCAGACACACGCAGACACAGGTCCAAAAGATGGAGGAGGAGAAGGAGAACATTTTGAGGACCTGTGGGGAGCTGCAGGACACTCTGAGGAAATCTCAGAAAGACAATGTCACCATTTTGAAGTCCTGTCAGGCATTGAATGTTGAGTGCTCCCTGCTGGAGGAGAGATGCTCTACGCTAGAGGACCTACTGGGGACCTCAGAAGAAGAGTGCTCCCTGCTGCTCACCCAGAAAAGAAAACTACAAAAGGAGGTGGAGCAGGAAAAGCAGGACAGAGCTGATGTACTGACAGAGTGCTCACTGCAGGAAGAGATATGCAGTACTTTAGAGAAGCTACTGGGTACCTCAGAGGAAGAGTGCTCCCTGCTGCTCACCAAGAACAGCACACTTGAAAAGGAGGTGGAGCAGGAAAAACAGGACAGAGCTGATGTGCTGAAGGAGTGCTCTGTGCTGGAAGAGGTATGCAGTACTCTAGAGGACCTACTGACGACCTCAGAGGAAGAGTGCTCCCTGCTGCTCACTAAGAACAGCACACTTGAAAAGGAAGTGGAGCAGGAAAAAGAGGACAGGGCTGATGTGCTGAATGAGTTCTCCCTGCTGGAGGAAGAATGCAGTAGTCTAGAAGACCTCCTGAGGACCTCAGAGGTAGAGCGCTCTGTGTTGGTTACAAAGAACAGTGGACTACAGCAGGAAGTGGAGCAGCTGACACAAACCAAAGCTGCACTGGAAGAGGAGAAAACAGATCTCTTAAAGACCTGTGAGGAGCTAAAGACAGAGCGCTCCCTGCAGGTCGACAGATGCAGCGCCCTAGAGCAGCATCTGAGGAGGACAGAAGATCAGTGCTCCCTGCTGGAGGACATGAACACAGCACTGGAGCAGGAGCTGCAGAAGAAGAAGAGGAGGTGGTACAGGAGGCTGTTCTGTGTCTAGACCCTCTGTCAGCCCCCCTCACTGTTGTGCACATAAACAATAAAGCATAAAAAAACAAAACAAAAGTATTATTGTATTATTTGTATTGTATTCACATTTTAATGATGGAAATATTATTTAACATACATTATTATACTGTACTATAATTATTTCTCTAATTAAATCCTCCTGATTGGGATGGTTATAAAAGGTATCAATACCTGATAGTATCAATATTAAACTATTAGCAAAACTAGATACTGATTTGAACAAGTCCCAATACTGAAAAGCATATAAATAAATAAAATAAGTCATAAAAATGTAAAAGAAGCAAACTTTCCATTTTAAAATCAGGGGAACCATGAGAGCAGTGTCTTCAGTCACCATCACATCCTCAGGGAATGTTGATCACATCAATAAAATGAAATAGAATGAAATGAAAAAGTAAAATTATGAATAATCCACTTTTTATTACAGGCTCCATTTGTGGCCGGTCAGCTTGACTTTTGCCTTCAGCATCTCAACATTTACACACCAGTTCTGATCGGCTTTAACCCTGCAAATCAGACTAGGTGAGAACAAATATCATTACAAAGTGCATACAGTATTGGGTCATTAAATAATAACTTGATTGGCAGGAAAATTAGTTTAGTTTTAGCTAAATTGTATGTATCTAATTATTTTGGTGAAATATGATTGAAGACAGGGGTTGGGCCACATGAGAAACAGAAAATATTGTAGAGGGCCAAAATGCTTAACACAATTCTGCATAATATTAATCGTATTTCTTTCTAAAACGCAGTTAATATGATTGTTTTGACAAGCTGGTAAGTTATGACTGTTATGACTAATCAATGAAAAAGTGAGGCTGCCTCACAAAAATGTCATTAAAAAATAAATAAAAACACCTCTAAAATAAAAGCAATGCAGCTTTAGTCCGTGCATGTGCTAAAATGATAAAATATGTTTATTTTGTAATTCCAAATTATCTTAAAGGGGCCGGTCAGAGTCAAACAAAGGGCCGTGTGTTAATAACCAATATAAATCAATTTTAATATTTTTTTATATTGTATATATTGTTTTCATATACGGTCTATAATTGTTTGTATGTTAATAAATGAATAAGTAAATAAAAATAATAAATTAATTAATTTAAAAAAAACAAACGAAAGTAAACAGAACCCACGCTACTCGGGCGCGTGATGCTGGGTGGGTTTCACGCATGCGCACTTCACAAACTGAGTTCCGGCAAAATCCGCGAAAACACGCTTTAAACTTTGAACTTTAGATATCTTGCATGAATTATGTCTCTCTCGTAGTACGTAGTCTGGTACTGTAATGGGAATTCGTTCGTTTAAGATAATCTCGCAGACGTTTATGACAAAACTTTTAAATCTATAGCGTATTGTGCGACATGTCTGTAGCTGAGAGGAATAACATAACAGAAACATGGGAGGTAAGAACACTAGATAACTGTCCGTGTGTCTCAATATTGTAGACATTTATTTTCATTATGCTAAAGAGCGGCTTGCTAAGAGAAAAAAACTGCAATAACAACATTTCATTTCGGTTTGAGGTTTCTGGTAATAATAAAATTGTGAAACGGGAGCGTAATTAAGGCTCATTCATGACTTATTCACGATAAACGTCTGAGACAGTATAGTCCATGGATCTATTAAAATAACAAAAAATAAAATATAGTTACGTTTTCTTTGTGTTTTGGTCATTTTTAAGCAGGTTTCCTGTATTTTACCTAAATAAATGACAATTTATGCCTCTCTGTTTGACACCTGTCTCTTGCTATCTTTTTGTGCTACTTATTTAGGATTTATTTTGCCATTTATATTTTTGCTCTTTGCTATTATATTATATTGGGATGTGTGAGCTACTGTGTCCAAATAATTTCCCTTGTGGATCAATAAAGTTTGTCTAAGTCTGTTTACTGTTGGCAGTTATCAAATTGGTCAAAAATAGGGACACCTGGGACATTTCTTGTTGTAAAACTGGGACAAATCACTGGTTTTGGATAAATCCACTGGGACAGGGGACACAGGTTTCAAAACTGTCCTGGGTAAATAGGGACATCTGGTCTTAACTGTGTCACATTTCTGTTTGACTGTCCTGCTATCTGCTTGTCTCCAAAAAGATGTTATTGCTTTGCCTGGAATGTTCCAAAGTATGAAATGTCCTCGCTCCATGACAGCGAGCAGATGGTGTCACCAGTTGAAGTTACAGGCCAGATCTGTGGAGAGAGACCCCACCCTGTGTAAGAATGCAGGTTTTGAAGGCTATTTTTACACTTGTAATTAAATAAAAGCTAAATAAATTGTAAGTTTAATGCCATACTGTGGATTATTCCTGGCAAACGCAAAACTTCTCCATTGAGACAAGCAGAAAGCAGACCCTCCACTAGAAATGTTACACAGTGAACAAGTGATATAACCATAATATATTAAGCAACCCTATGATAATTTGTGATATGGTTGGTCCAAAGGTCTGGGGTTCACTTCCTGGACCTCAATCTAAACCATTAACTATATAAACTTTCAATCTACATCAAGAATTTTATCTCACTATATTGTTTTGTTTACAGTCCATAGACTACGAGCCCTCACTTCCTGTTTCAGAGAAGTCCAACCCGCTGAGCCGGGACTTAGACAGAGCTTCGGCCAATCAGATCGTGAGAATCCTCCAGGCCTGTGATATGCAAATGTTTGAAAAAGAAGACTCCAATGGCCAATACCAGGTACGAGTTGGAGATTAATTTAATACATAAAAATACAGAATTATTTGTATATTAATTGTAAATCTTTCAGAGGATTTTGAGTGACAGTGTGTTGAAAAGTGTGATGGAAGTTGCCCTAAGAGTGGAAGAAATTCTCAAGGTAAGATCTCGTATATAAATGATTTTAAAAATTATTTTATGGTACTCAGACTTAGTTTAGACCTGGTTTAGTCTGGAATAGCCCAACTGATACTGCAGCTGATATTGTCAACATTCCCTCGGGATGTGACGCTAACTGTAGGCTCTGCTCTGTCTCAAGCTCTGTTACTCAAGTTAGACTTTAATCTGATCTTTGTTTTAACACAATCTGTCCAGAGAATCTATCTGGAACTACAAGAGGAGAGCTGGTTTATGTTATGTCTTAAACAAAGCTCTTACACATAAAATTACAGTCACCATGGTAACCGATGAGCATCCCACTATATAGACATGCATGTTGAACCCCCCAGCGTGACGTCACTACAAATTATGAATAGTCTAGACCTAGTAGAGTCCAAGTTTAAATATTATGTAGTGTTATTTCAGTCCTGGTTTAGTTTTAAAACATGATTTAGACCCAGTTAAGTCTTTTTTTAAGGTAGTACGATATTCAGAAAGCTGTGTTTTCCAGATGGTATTGCGTAAACTCTCTCAAATTTGTTCCCAATTTAAGCCAAAAATGTCTAAAATATTCCACCCACAGACCATGATGAGTAGATAATGTTTCATTTACTTGTGCTTTATTTATTTGTACATATTTAGAATCCAGAAAACAGTCTCATAGTGCTCAGTGGATGTGGAACTTCTGGTCGACTGGCTTTTCTCATTACGGTAAAAAAACAAAACAAAACAAAAACTAAACAATGATTCATTTTGTTTATTCAGCAATTTAGTTAATTTTTTTTCTCATTTCATAGAGATGTTTTAACAAAGCACTGAAGCAATTGAGCAAGCAGTCAGTATATACCTACATTATTGCAGGAGGAGACAGGTAAGTTAACATTACCAATTAAATGTAAACAATTAATAACTTTAAACAAATGTAGTTTGCATTAATGAGTAATGTGTTTTTCTAGGGCTCTTTTCACCTCAAAAGAATCACATGAAGATGACCCTAAAATGGGCATGCTTCATCTAAAGGAGGTAAAAATAATAGTAGTAGAAGTTTTAGCAGTAATAGTAGTTTTTGCCCTTATTAAACCAAGTCTAGGAAGAATTTAATGTGAATTGTAGTAGTAAATGCAAGAACAGTAACAAATTAAATTATGTGAAATTTGAGAATGAATTAAGTTCCACTATGGCACAGAATCTGGCTTTAAAATCTTTCAAATCACTGTGTATATGACTATTTAGTTTGTCCTTTCATTTAGTAGTAGTAGTAGTAGTAGTAGTAGTAGTAGTAGTAATTATGTTTTTTCTTATAGGTCTGTGAAGGAAAGAAGCATGTCTTGTATATTGGAATTTCTTGTGGATTATCAGTAAGTAGTGGGAAAAATTGTGAATCGAGCGCTGGTGTTACTTAGGAGGCCACATATTTAACAAGGTGGTACTTATGAAAAGTTTGATAGGAAATCTTGCATAAAGAATTGTATATCTCTAGTTGTTGAAGTTCAAATTGTTGTTGATTTGGTGTTGCACTGCTGAAATATGTTCAAATTATGACTTTGTTTAAAAATAATAGTATAGTTAATTGACTCTGAATTACATTAATAAACAATATAAATCCATCAGTTATATTTGAATTGATATGTAACTATAGCAACCCACATATGGAATAATGACATGTGACTTCACCTGACAACACCTGGCAACATGTTCCATCCACATTCTATTACTTTATGACATCATCAAGGTTCTACGGAAGCGTGTGTAAGGGTAGCACAAGTCTGTATAAAGTCAATTGAGCTCAGCCTTCGAACGAAACGCAGAGACCCACTTCAGACAAACATGTGCAAAGATTGGTGTGATTACACGAGTGAAGACGACAAACTCCTTTACAGCCAGGAGTTCAACTTGATGGAGGAGTTGGAGGAAACACCCACCAACCAACATCAGGCCCCTGGACCAGGTGATCCGCTCCTTTCTAACTCTGGAGGAGTTAGAAAGAGAGCAGCTTGGACCTCGACAACAACAGAGGTCTAAGGAGGAAGAGGAGAGGGGCATGGCCTTAGTCATGTCTCGACTCCAAACTTCCTTTAAAGCTGCTCAGGTTAGAACCAGAGAGGAGCAGCTGCTCAAAGAGCTGGAGGAGCTCAAGAAGACGTGAGAGAGATCGTGACCAGCATGAGGAGGAAAAGGTGCAGTTATTGAGGAAGATGAAGCTCATTATTGTAGGTAATGAGAGAAAAATGCACGGCCTCAAGTCTCAGGTCACAGAATTGACACAGACGTTGGAGCAAATGCAAGAAGATTCCTGCAGAAAATCCAAAGACTGGGAGATGGAAAAGCAGAGACTCCAGAAGGACTCTGCTGATCTGAGATCCAGGCTGCAGGAAAAATGTTCAGAGAATACAGCTCTGAAGGAGGAGGCTGAGCAAAATGTCCAGATGCTCCAGAAACTTAGACAGATGCAGACACAGGTCCAAAAGATGGAGGAGGAGAAGGAGAACATTTTGAGGACCTGTGAGGAGCTGCAGGACACTCTGAGGAAATCTCAGAAAGACAACATCACCATTTTGAAGTCCTGTCAGGCTTTGAATGTTGAGTGCTCCCTGCTGGAGGAGAGATGCTCTACGCTAGAGGACCTACTGGGGACCTCAGAAGAAGAGTGCTCCCTGCTGCTCACCCAGAAAAGAAAACTACAAAAGGAGGTGGAGCAGGAAAAGCAGGACAGAGCTGATGTACTGACAGAGTGCTCACTGCAGGAGGAGATATGCAGTACTTTAGAGAAGCTACTGGGTACTTCAGAGGAAGAGTGCTCCCTGCTGCTCACCAAGAACAGCACACTTGAAAAGGAGGTGGAGCAGGAAAAACAGGACAGAGCTGATGTGCTGAAGGAGTGCTCTGTGCTAGAAGAGGTATGCAGTACTCTAGAGGACCTACTGACGACCTCAGAGGAAGAGTGCTCCCTGCTGCTCACTAAGAACAGCACACTTGAAAAGGAGGTGGAGCAGGAAAAAGAGGACAGGGCTGATGTGCTGAATGAGTTCTCCCTGCTGGAGGAAGAATGCAGTAGTCTAGAAGACCTCCTGAGGACCTCAGAGGTAGAGCGCTCTGTGTTGGTTACAAAGAACAGTGGACTACAGCAGGAAGTGGAGCAGCTGACACAAACCAAAGCTGCACTAGAAGAGGAGAAAACAGATCTCTTAAAGACCTGTGAGGAGCTAAAGACAGAGCGCTCCCTGCAGGTCGACAGATGCAGCGCCCTAGAGCAGCATCTGAGGAGGACAGAAGAACAGTGCTCCCTGCTGGAGGACATGAACACAGCACTGGAGCAGGAGCTGCAGAAGAAGAAGAGGAGGTGGTACAGGAGGCTGTTCTGTGTCTAGACCCTCTGTCAGCCCCCCTCACTGTTGTGCACATAAACAATAAAGCATAAAAAAACAAAAGTATTATTGTATTATTTGTATTGTATTCACATTTTAATGATGGAAATATTATTTAACATACATTATTATACTGTACTATAATTATTTCTCTAATTAAATCCTCCTGATTGGGATGGTTATAAAAGGTATCAATACCTGATAGTATCAATATTAAACTATTAGCAAAACTAGATACTGATTTGAACAAGTCCCAATACTGAAAAGCATATAAATAAGTAAAATAATAAAAATGTAAAAGAAGCAAACTTTTCATTTTAAAATCAGGGGAACCATGAGAGCAGTGTCTTCAGTCACCATCACATCCTCAGGGAATGTTGATCACATCAATAAAATGAAATCAAATGAAATCAAATGAAACGAAAAAGTAAAATTATGAATAATCCACTTTTTATTACAGGCTCCATTTGTGGCCGGTCAGCTTGACTTTTGCCTTCAGCATCTCAACATTTACACGCCAGTTCTGATCGGCTTTAACCCTGCAAATCAGACTAGGTGAGAACAAATATCATTACAAAGTGCATACAGTATTGGGTCATTAAATAATAACTTGACTGGCAGGATAATGAGTTTAGTTTTAGTTTTAGTGTCTAATTTTGGTGAAATATGATTGAAGGCAGGGGTTGGGAAATTTCTTTTTCCATGGGGCCACATGAGAAAAAGAAAATATTGTGGAGGGCCAAAATGCTTAACATAATCTCACCTCTAAAATAAAAGCAATGCAGCTTTAGTCGATGCATGAGCTAAATTGATAAAATATGTTTATTTTCTAATTCCAAATGATCTTAAACGGGCTGTCAGAGTCAACCAAAGGGCCGTGTGTGGCCTCGGAGCTGTACAATGCCTGATTAAAGATATAAGATTAGAACAATTATACAAATTTCAGTTCACTTTCAATCTGGTCATCTTTTTGGTAAGATAAACTTTATTATCCCTGTAACGAAATTTGTCTTATTGTCTTATTTGTCTGCATTTGACCCATCTGTTTTCATCCCTGTTTTCAACACATATTGACACACATACTGACACCCCACTGGAGTTCATTACAACAGGAAGAATTATAGGAATTACAATTTATTATAATATTACAACAATTTATTATAAAATTATAGTAAAATTGATTGATTCTGTAGTGTTTTTGTTGTAAGTGCTGATGTTGCGGTGGGGTTTATTTTTTCCTATGTGTACTGGTTCCAGATAGTTAAGTGTCCCAGATTCCAGATAGGTAGTAGTAAAAAAGATTATGTCATGTTACAGATAGTAACCTCATGACCCACCTGTTTATCTTAGCTTTGTGGGGGGGAGATGGAAAGAAATGTGGGATTGTTTTTAATCACTGTAAAATGCTTTGTGTTGCAGTTTTTTGAATGGAAAGTGCTCTATAAATAAAGTTCGATTGACTGATTGATAAACCCAGATCTCTTTTTTTTTAGATCTGACCCAATGCAAGGCTGCACATTCACTTTCTATGACGTAGTGCAGAGGATGCAGGAGGCAGCGACACACCAGAAGGCTTTCATCATTAACCCTGCAGTGGGGGTCAGACACATACTTATACTTATACTTGTGCGTCTGTGGAGCTCTGTGCACATTATTCCATGTGTATTCACTCTTCCATGATCCTTTGCAGCCTGAAGCCCTCAGTGGCTCCTCCAGGATGAAAGGGGGCAGTGCCACTAAGATCCTTCTCGAGGTGATCCTGCAGGCGGCTCACGGTGCTGCCTTTGCACACCGCCCCATCACTCCACAGTAAGTGCAAGTATCAAATTCAATAACGTGAAATTTGAGAATGGATTAAGTCCCATTATGGCGGGGCATCTGGCTTTAAAATCTGTCAAATTACTGTGCGTATCACATAGCAACGCCTAATATAGAAGCTGAATAAAAAACATTACACTAACATACGAATTTTAGTTCTAGTTTAGTCGCTGTAAAATTTGTTTGGGTCTTGTTTAGTTTACCTTTGATTATTTAGTTGTGCACAGTTCTGTTCATGTGTGTAAATGCTGTAGGAATTTGATTATATGGAGTAAGTAAGGTAATAAGGTAGTAAGTAAGTATGATAAGTTTGAAAATGCCCAAGATTTAGCAAGAATTTTACATAAAGACTAAATTATAGTGTATTGACAAGTTCATATGTTCAAGTTTCTGTTTCTATTACAGTGTGTATTGTAACCTATGGAAAGGCGGTCCTCATAGTTACAACAAAAGTAGGGCAGACAGTAGGATTCATAAATTCAAATAAACATCAAAACAACAAAATCAACACTACTGTACACACACACTCACTCACTCACACTTGTCTGTTAGACACTTAATGAATCAAATTTGACCAAAAATAAGACAGAGTTCAAATATAGTCACCAAATATAACAAGATAAACAACAACATTTAACAAAATGATCAAAAAAATTTACACGGGATATGTAAATATTGAATCAGAGCATTTTTAAAGAAAGGGACAGAAGCTAATCGTGCGTAAATCGATGAGGGAAGATTGTTCAAATGAGAGGGAGCTTTATATTTAAATGAGTGTTTTCCTGTTTGTTTTTTGACTCATTGGAAAACAAAAAATATCTGATCTGCGTGACCTATTTGTTTTTTGACTCATGTTACAACAAAACATCTGCGTGACGTAAACTGTAAGAGGATCTGAATGGAATTAAATAGTTTGAGATATTCAGGAAAACTGAGATTAATGCATTTAAAGATAAATAATAAGCAGTGAAGTTAGCGTCGGGAGGACAAAGTGAGCAGGACAGTTTGTGGAACATCACACAGTGGTGAGTTCTGAAGGGACAGCAGTGAATGAATCTTCACAGAAAACATTAAGTGGTTGGAGGATAGAAGAAGTTGCAGTATTTTGACAAATTAAATCACAATAATCTAAAATGGGAAGAACTAATTGTAAGATCATCTTTTTCCTGACAGAAAAACTAAAACGACTGATGGAGAGATAAAGTAATTTCAAGCAGTATGAAATTTTGTTTGTAATAGTTTGCATGTGGGCGCTGAATGAGAGTGACGGGTCAAGCCATAAACCAAAATATAAAAATTTTTCAACAGGTATAATTGGTGATGAATCAGTAAATGTCAGATTTATGTCATTAACAGATAAAGGACGGATTAGTTTCTGAAACAACATAAAGTATGATTTGGATTTATTAAGTAATAGTAAAGTTAAGGATTTAAATGCTTAGTTCTTGTCGAGGCATTTTTTTTTTTTTTGGTTTATCCAGTCCTGGTGTAGATGCACTGGTCTTGTTGTGTCCTTAAGGCTAATATTCCCTCAGAGATTTTAACATGTCACCTCTAAGTGCTTCTGTGTGTCTGTAACCTCCACTGGACCTGCCAACATGAAACTTACATTAGACTCTACAATTGTGCTCCTTCTATAAAGACCCGGGAATCAATATTAAAGGACATACGTATGATTTTCTATACAGTCTCGAGAATCAATAAGGATTTGACTAAGTAGCTTAAGTTTTGCGCAAGTGCAGCTCATTGTGACTGACATTATTATACTCTTTGATACTAAAATCTCAAATAATAAATAAATAAACAAACAGCCTAGTAGTAGCATAAACAGTACTACTATAAATACTACAGCTACACTAACTGCTACAAACCACTACTACTACACAAACTTTGCCATATAATTCTATTTAATTGCTGCTAAAACATCTACCATTACAAGATTAATTATATAATTTACTTAAACATTACTGAATATCATATGAACATGTGGACACTACTATTGGTACTACTACTACTACTACTACTACTACTACTACTACTATTTGAATTAATGATTTTTGAATACCATGACCCTCCTCTCTGAACAGTTGTGCTTTGCTGACCCCTAGAGGGCACTACAATATTGCAGGCAGAATCCAATGCTTTTCATACAGTTTCAATTTTAGCTGAAAATTGTACCATATTTGTTCAGGTCTATACACGATCACATGGACGTCTACGTTAAATGTTTGGATCTAACTTATGCACAACCTGAATACATGGCTACGATGATAAAATCCGCAGGAGAAAGGTAACTAAAACATGCTTATATTAGTCATTATTTGTCTTATTTTTTGCTTTTCTGGAGGAGGGTCTGTCAAATTCTTTTCTCCATGAAGATGTTATTCCTTTGAAATGTTTCACGGTATGGTATTAAACCTTTCCATTGAGATTAAACGAGACCAAGATCTGTGGAGAGGCGACCCCGCTCACAATGAGAATCCCTGTTTTTCTAGGAATTTTTTAGCTATAAAACCACATTTAATTGAATAAATGCAAGTTAGAGCTGTTTAATGTCATACTTAGGAACATTACAGACAAAGCAATAACATCTCCATGGAAAAAAAAAGCATTTGATGGACCCTCCAAGTTACACAATGCGCCTTTAAAGCAAATCTTTCCCTATTTTGTTATGAATATTTTAGTTTACAAAGCGGTAGACATGTGTGCTATCTCGGATGGGACAGTCTGGGTATACTTGGCTTGATTGACGCCAGTGAGTGCATCTCTACATTTGGAGCAGGTATCGAAAACGTAGATAAACCATTAGTGTTTGCTTAACTGTTTTGATTCTTCCATTGTTTATAATAGTGGTCTCCATGGAAACCTGTGTTACTCTTTCAGACTATCATGATATTCGAGGTTTTGTCAGTGGAGGGTTCAGCGCGTTGGACAATAATGAAGGACCACTCACTTCTCTGGTGACTGGATTTGCTTTGAAATTCTAACGTAAAAAAACCCCCAAAACATTAAATTGTTGTATTGAATTATGCATAGTTAATACATAAATTATAAGTTCTATAGTACTTGCATTAGTAATCAGAAGTAGCTTAATTGTATATTTTGTTGCACACTTGCAAGATAGTACATAAATATATTAATATTTACTGTATTTATCACATTTATTACCTTTCCTTAAAGATACACAGATGTAACCTTTCTTGTGGCGGGTCTGTCGTCAGGCTGTCTCCATTTTAGTTATTTCTTTGCCTAGAATTAATCATAATATGGCATTAAATGTATTTCCATGGAAACACTGCCACAGTAAGAATGCATGTTTTTCAAGGTATTTTTGATCAATACAAATACCTGTATTGAATAAATGGAAGATATACTGTATTGGATATTATCACACTGTGGAATATTCCAGGCAAAACAATAAGATCTCCATGGATACGAATTGGTGATGCACCCTCCACCAGAAAATTTACATAAAACACCCTTAAAATTGAATTAAAATGTACTTAATTTCCTTGTTTCATGTGTTTTTTTTTGTTTTTTTTTTACTTCTGCAGGTCTCAAACTATCGCATTTCTCATGAAGACTTCTTGAACAACGTCCTGCCTTCACTGAATGACAAAGATACTGTCATTTTACTCTACACCGAGTTTGGTAAGGCAAAAATTCTGTGAAAAATGAATGAGAATGTTCCAAAGTATGCCATTAAACTTACTTATTTCCATGGAGACAAGCTGGTGATGATCAGATCTGTGGATAGGATACCACACAGTAAGAAAGTACCATATATTTTCAAGGTACTGTACAATATTAACACCTATAATTGATTAAATACACGATACAGAGATTTAATGCCATAATGAGGAACATTCTAAGCAAACAATAATAACATCTGCATGGAGACAAGCCCCATTAAAGTCACATACTGTATCTTTAATTACTTGTCTGTGTCTTTTTACCAGATGACCAAAGTGAAGTCTCTGAAATATCAGCCAGAGTGAGAGAAAAGAACTGCAAGCTCCACAGTATTGTTCATTGCTCCGAAAATGGTTCTGCTGTTGAAAAAAAAGTAGGTTAATCAATCCATCAATCAATTATTCTGTTTTAACACCTAATTATAATTAACTTCACTGAGAGAGAATATTGATTTTTGCAGGTCGAGATCAATAGTTTAACTGGTTCAGACAGTTTACAGAGAATGGTATGTATTTAATGGTCAGCTTCTACCTTAAGTAGTAGTAGTAGCAGTATTACGCATACTAGCAATGGTAGAAATAGTAGTAAAGCAGTTATTTTATTTGGAGTTATGGCAGTATTTAAAGTAGAAATTTAGATTAGATTAGTACTCAGTATAGTGGATACCTTAGCAAAAGAAGTAGTGGTTTCAGTAACAGTAGTAGAATTTTTAGTAGTAGTAGTAGTAGTAGGAGTAGTAGGAGCTGTTGTGGTAGTAGTAGTGGTACATGCTATTCAGTATTGCTTAAGTAAATAATATAATTATCCTGGTTGTAGTAATTGTGGTAGTAGTCATAGGAGCGATTGAAATAGCATTATATGAGTAAACATATGGATATCTGTGAAGTAGTTGTGGTAGTAGTAGTTGTAGTATTTATAGCAGTACTGTTCATAAGGGGTGTGCAAAAATAGTGAAATATCAATATATCGTATTGTTTAATGTGATGAAACAGTATCAATATCGTGGGCTGTTGTATCGATATATCGCCAAGAGTATTTGTTGGTATATTTTACTGAATTATTTAGTTACAGAGCTACGGTTTTGTTTGCAACACAATTGACATTTTCACTTTTCTGATGATTAAAATGGGAGTTTCAAATGAACTTCGCACAAGAAGTGGTTTAACAAAGACTTTTAGTATCACAGCCATGATTTAGCTTTTATGTTTTATTGAACCGTACTGAATCGATTATATCGTATCAAACTGATACTGCACTGTATCAAAATATGTATCATATCGGCAAGTTCTTAATGATACCCAGCCTGACTGTTTATGGTATTAGGCTGTTTGTTCATTTAGTATTTGAGGTTTTAGTAGTAGTAGTAGTATTAATAGTAGTAGTTGGCATGTTGTTTATATGCAGATATCAACTATCGTGTGTATTTTTTCAGAGATTTACTGTATTTTTGTGTTCATTAGCAATGGGAGCTAACTACTAAACTAACATTAAACGCAATTAGCACTGGTGCACATGTTCTGAAGGGAAAAATTTACCAAAACTACATGATTGATCTGCAAGTCACCAACAGCAAACTGTACCGACGGGCCGCGCGACTACTACAGGTACTAAAATAAATATTACGCTATTTTCTGATCTATGTCATAATGTTGTTTCCTCATCACAAACAAACCTGGAGTTGGGTTTCATTTTATAACACACAAAGAATGCATGTTAAGGCTGAGTTCATCTCTCAAACAGAAAACACTCTGTTCCACCTTATGATGTCATGTGGTAATACAGGAAGTGCCGCACTGTATTTTTAAACTCCATACACGTTCACTGGAATTATTTGGATGATTTCAGCGCTGGAATTGCCAATCTCTACCAAACAAAATGCTGCTGTTAACTTAAACTTCCACTTCATGACATGTGGAACAGAGTGTTTTGAGCTTTGGAGATAGAGAGACTAATAATAAAGGATTACTCAAACATGTGTGAATGAAACAAAACACAACTCCAGGTCTGTTTTTGACAAGGTAACAAACATTATAACATGACTTAATTGAATAGTTTTTGTTTTTATTTTAGAAATTCTCTGGTCAAACTGAGATTCAGTGTCACGAAGCCTTACTGAAAGCTATTTATGAAGTGGAAGAATTGAATGACAGCATCAAACTGAAGAATATCTTTGCCCATACAAAAATCGCTTCAAAAAGATCCAAGGTAATTGAAATAACAGGAAATGTATAAAATGCGGGGAAAGATGTATTATAATTTGTACTGTACATAGATTGTTCCTCTGGCACTGGTGTGTCTGCTCACTGGCTGCTCATTGGTGGAGGCGGGATCGAGTCTGGAGAATCAGCCAATCATAAGAGATGCAGTAACAGCATGTCTAACACAGAACAAACATCAGAATATAAAAAATAATTGAGTATATTTTTTATATTTTTTGCTATCTGTGACCAAATGGGGAGTGAAAACAGCCTATAAGCACAGTCTTGCATTGTAGGTAGTAATTACAAATACATAATCAGTAGTTTTTGGAGTAGTAGTAGCTTTAAAACACAGTGGAGCACTTCCTGAATTACCACGTGACATCACAGGGTGGTGAATGAGAAAAACGTGATTATAACAGTTATAACAGATTAGAAAAAAGCGCAGTATAATAGTAGTAGCAGTGTGTTCAAAGATATCAATGGATTTCAGATTGATCAAAAAAGTTCTTCTATCTGAATGGCAAAGTCCTCAAAATGGCACCTTTAAACAAGAAGCTGAAACCTATTATGTCAATATCAAGGTATCTATAGCCTAATCAATAATAATTTGTCTCTACAGGTGGATTTATACCAATATTTAGAATTTTAGATTATAAACAATAATATCTCTCTTGATACAGGCAGGTAGCAGATCCTCCAGCAGAAAACAATGGTTACATAGTGAATCTTTAAATAAATTGACCTTTAAATGAAACTGTTGCGGTGTGATTTGGTGGAAGAGGTCGTGCGTGATGTAAACCAGCCTCAATCCCTCTCACAGATTAGTGACGTGTGCAGCAGTGTCTCTAGACCAGATCAGGGACCTTCAAAGCACAGCTAATAGAGATTCAACAGCACAGACATAAAGTACATGCATTTTAAATATATGCCAGCCTAAATTTTAAAGCTGAACTATGTAACTTTTTGGTTGTTGGTCCATTGCTCTGCCCAGAATGTTCCACAGTATGGCATTAAACAGATCTACCTCACATTTATTGAGTTATAAGAGGTTTTACAGCTCAAAAAGACCTAGAAAAACATGCATTCTGACTGTGAGCGGGGTCGCCTCTCCACAGATCTGACCTGTAACTTGGTCTGGTTTGGGCTCCATGGAGATAGAAAGGTTTAATACCATTCTGTGAATCATTCCAGGCAAAGCAATAACATTTCCATGGAAAAAAAAAAAGCATTTGACGGACCCTCCCAACAGAAAAGTTACACAATGCACCTTTAATATAATTTAAGTTTTTCACTTTTCACATTAAAGGGGTCATTCTGGAGTCAAATTATGGGTAATACTTTTTCTGTATTATTATGGTAGGCAAAATACTTTAATTAGCAGTCGTTTTTCAATTTGAAAATAGTAGAAGCATGGTATACCGGTAGTAATAGAAAAGTATTATTTGAAAGATTAGTAGTAGCAGTAGTAGTAGTTGTAGTAGTAGTAGTAAAGCAATATTTAGAGCAGCGGTGTCAAACTCAAGTCGTGGGCGAAACTAAATATTTATTGAAAAATTTCAACAACGTCTGCATGTTTTCTCTTCTTTAGAGATATGTAATGTTAAACCTAAAATTAATTAAATTAAATAAATAAATAATTAAAATAAATGTTTAATAATAGTTTTGCTTAAACACTGAATCCAGAACAAGCATAATATAAAATAATTACAAAATTTTAAATAAATAATGTCTCTATAGTCTATCAGTAGCCGGTGGGCCAGCTCTAATACATGTTTGATATGATCTCTCGGGCCAAATATAATTATATCGTGGGCCAAATTTGGTCCCCGTGCCTGAGTTTGACGTGTCTGATTTAGAGTAACAACGGTAAAAGTGTAGTTAAGTTGAAATCGTTGGGTTAGTGAAGTCAAGTTTAATACAGGAAAACACAAACAATAACACCTCCATGAAGAAAACTGGGTGCCGAATCCTCCGCTAGAAATGTTACACAATGCACCTTTAAGCTTCCAAATGATAAACAATAACGCCCCAAAACATTACATCTCCGTGTCTTTATTTAAATATATTCAGTTACATTCAGATAGTCATAGACCTCACATAGGCACACCTCAGGCTCCAGCCAAACCACCTCCTTTACACAATAACCAATCCTCGTTATTGTTCGGAGAGAAATTCCACCGTATACATACAGTATATTGTTACCATAGTTGTCCGCATCGCCGTGGAGACAGTAAGGCATCGTAAAACCACTTCATGCTGTTTCTCAACATCGCCACCTACAGTATACAACACAACTAAAGACAAATATAACGGAAGGTCACAATGCACCAGCAATACAGTGTAAAAGGCTCATTTATAGAGTTGAAATGGAGAAATTACTGTATTATTGATATATTATGGTCTTCAAAAACAGTTTGAAATCTCAAGAAAAAATACTAAATGGATTTAAACAACACATTTTCAAGAGCAAAAGGTGAGAGTGACTGAAAAACTGTAATTTAATGCGTGAAAGACTTGTTTTTACAGCACAAATCAGCTCACATTCCAGTGTAATTCCAGCTAAATCAACTCTTTCTGGTCAGATTGTGTTAAAATTAAAGCCTAAATTGACTAACAGAGCTTCAGACAGAGCAGTGCACACAGTTAGCATCACACCCCCAGTGAATTTTGATTACATCGGCCGCAAAGTGTCAAAATAAATCCTTAATAATAGCAATAATATTTAATTTTCCTAGACTATTGCTTTTACAAATTTGTGCATTATTCAGTCACTTCTCATACGCAATCTGGGGGAAGTGTCTTGCCCATTGACACAACAACAACAGGATGTATTGATCAGAACTGGAATCGAACCGCACCTTTTATATGTGAAAGTATGAAAGTATTGGCTGGACAAAATAATAACGGTTAATGGATCCAATTTCTTTGACTTTTGCACTGTATTGTAGCGAATAACATTGTACTCTTTCATAAACTTTCTATGCAAAATATCCAAAATTTTTACAGATTAATCAACTATGACATAAATTCCAAAATCAATTAATTAACGTGACAATAAAGTTACGCTATAGCAAGTTAAGTAACATTTTTGACTCTGTTTTGAAACCCTGAGACTGTTGAACTGTTACACAACTCAGTACGTAACATACGGATCAATGGCTCTATAAGCAAAACAAAAGCTTGCAAAAATACAGTGTCCATTCCCGTTGAGTTATAATGGGAAATCTTCACGTTAAAATGCCCCGTTGCAGTTCAGCGATTCAAAATTCAAAATAGTCTTCCTTCTGTAGTGGTTAAAGTGCTTCAAGTGTCATTTTTTGTTATTTTTCTAGAATAAAAGTCACTGCAAAAAGTAATTTCTAAGTGAGTTAAAATGACTTGAATAAATACTGTATTATTTTTGATTTGAGAAGATTTGACTTGGCAAGTTATCTACCAATGGAGTAAGAGCTTTTGTACTTAAATCCAAGGTTGTCAAAAGTATCGAAAATCAGATGCTAAAACTAGTATCAAAACTAGATACTTGATTGAGCAGGTATCGATACTAAAAAGTCACAATCACAGGACAAAAATGAAGCTTTCCTGAATAGATTTTGAATGAGCTTGAGCTGTTTCAGAACAAGTCTAAGAGCACATAGATTAGTATACGGGAATAGAAAAGAAAATACTACAATTTAATGTTGAAAATCATGTTCATTGTTTTTAATCATCATTGTGGTATCGGAAACGGTATTGAGTGTCAAGTCTATTTCTTATTATCAATATCGTGTTTGAAATTTTAATATCGCGACATAACAAAACAAAAAAAAAGCTGTTCCATTAGTAGATAATTTCGCTTGTCAAGTCAACTCTCCTCAAATTAAGATAACATATTTTTAATTAAAGAAATTTTAACTCATCTAGAATTTAGTTTTTGTATAATGATCAGTTTTGCCTGAGATTTTGGACTTAAATGTTTATCGTGTAACTTTTCTGGTGGAGAGTCCGTCAAATGTTTTTCTCCATGGAGATGTTATTGCTTTTTCTGGAATGTTTCACAGTACGGCATTAAACCTTTCTATCTTCATGGAGACCACACCAGACCAAGTTACAGGTCAGATCTGTGGAGAGGCGACTCCGGTCACAATCAGAATGTCTGTTTCTAGGTATTTCTGAGCAATAAAACCATCTGTAACTGAATAAATGTAAAGTAGAGCTGTTTAATGTCATACTGTGGAACATTCCAGGCAGAGTAACGACATATCCATAGAAAAAAGCAGGTGACGGACTCCTCCCAACCAGAAAAGTTACACAGTGCACCTTTAAACATAGTCCAAGTCGCTGTCACTGTTTTTAGCTTTACGACGTTTGACTCGGGCTGGTGATCGGCTCCTCTTCGGGCTGGTCCCGCCTGGAGACGCTAATTTTGGTACTTCCATGTTTGTCGTAGTGGGGCCTGTGTCGTCCAGAGATCCAGACTGGGACTCCACAGACGTCCTGGTGAACTGGTGGAGGAGGGAACAGTCTGTCTTTTTCTCAAGTTTAGGTTCAGTGTTTTCAGTTTTGGTTTCTGTTTCGTGTTCCGATTTTTCCTCTGTTTCCGAATCTTCAACGTCGGCTTCTTCTCCTTCAGTTGCGCCAACAGTTGGGGTCTCCTAACAATAAAAAAACAGAAAAATTATTAAATACACCAGTTTAATTAATATATTTTATTTAGATACCTGACAGCACCAAATAACAATTTAAATGTGTACAATTATGGTGATAAGACGCTTCTAAAATTCGCAGCTGTCTTGGGGTATATTAACAGGGACACAGCAGCCATTTTGGGGCCCTTCTGATCATCACCAGTCACCTACCCAGACAAATATTCATACATGCTATTGGGTGAACTGTTTTCCACAAATATAAAATGACTGAATGAATTTAAAGGTGCACTAGTATGTAACTTTTATAACTTTTCTTGTCGATTTTGAGATATTATTGATTTGCCTAGATCAGACATGTCAAACTCAGGCCCAGGGTCCAAATTTGGCCCGTGATATAATTATATTTGGCCCTCGAGATCATATCAAATATGTATTAGAGCTGCCCGCCGGCTACAGATAGACTATAGAGACATTATTTATTTAAAATTTTGTTATTATTTTATATTATGCTTGTTCTGGATTCAATATTTAAGCAAAACTATGATTAAACATTTATTTTAATAAGAAGAAAGAAGAGAAAACATGCAGATATTGAAATTTTCCAATAAATATTTAGTTTCACCCACAACTTAGTCCCAGTTTTTAATTTTGTCCCTCAGTGAGTTTGAGTTTGACACCCCTGGCCTAGATTGTTTCATGGAATTGATTCAAAGTTTTCATTCATTTACAGGTATTTTAATGCAAAAAAACTAAAATTGAAAAATGAAAACACACGAAATATTCATAAAGATACATTCTAACTGTGACCGGGAGCTGGAGACAAGCAAGTGACAGACCGTCTACCAAAAAAATTCCATAGTTCCGGTTTAAAGGTGCATTGTGTAACTTTTCTGTTACACTTTTCTCCATGGAGACGTTATTGCTTTGTCTACAGTGTTTCACAGTATAGTATTAAACCTTTCAATCTTCATGGAGACCAAACCAGACCAAGGAGAGGCGACCCTGCTCACAGTCAGAATTCCTGTTTTTCTAGGTATTTTTGAGCCACCTCTAATTGTAGAGCTTAATGTCATACTGCGGAACATTCCAGGCAGAGCAATGACATATCCATAGAAACAAGCAGGTGACAGACCCTCTACCAGAAAAGTTCCAAGTGTGAGGTAAACGTCGGTTGTTGGTGTGTTATTGTGTGAAGAGTGGAGCTTTACAGTGGCCGTCAGCTCGCAGATTTCAGTGGGTCTAATTGGATGAGATTAGTTTGTGTGCAGCTCAGATTTAAGGGTTAGGCTACACAGGGACAGTCCCCTTTAACCTCATGGTTCAGGTTCCCACTGGGATTTACATCATCTGCTGTTATATCAATGTTTCCAAGATTAGCAAGAAAGAAGAACAGTCGTTAAAGGGCCCATACTGCACTGTTTTGTTTATGTTTTAATGTTTCCTCAACAAAAACATACCTGCAGTTGTGTTTTGTTGAAGTGCTCTATCTTGGTTTTTAAACTTCATACACCTTCACTAGAATCATTTGGATAATTTCAGTGCTGGAAGTGACAATCTCTACTGAACTACATGACATCACAAGGTGGAACAGAGCATTTTGAGCTTTGGAGATGTAAACAGATGAATAATAAGGGGTTACTAGGTTTGTTTTTGATGATTTAACAACATTCTGACATGACTTAAAGCTCACAAGGGTCAATTTTGCGTAATATAGGACCTTTTATGTGTGCTACTGGTTTAGTTTCACAAAATAATTTTTAAGAGTTGATTATGAGTCACAATTAAATGTGATTAAATAGTAGAGGAGCCAAAAATAAATGATTAGCAAGCTGATTTGAAAAGTGGCACTTAAATTGTTTGTTCATTTGTAACCAAGCATGTCAGTCTAAGACACTGAAATGAATTATTTTAGTAGCTTTCTTGTAAAATGTAAATTGAAAAAATAAAATAAAATAATAAAATTCACATGAAATATAGTTTACAATAAAAAAGCATACATTTATTTCATTGTGGTCATTATGGTTGGTTATTTCATGTAGATAATTATAAATAGATACATAATTCTTCCTTAACTTGAGATTATTATTCTAATTTTGAAATGTAGGCCTTTTGTTTGAATGAACTGTAATGTATTTGTAATCACAGCAACAAAGAGATATTCAAAATACCACTGTTAAATACTTGTATAATTTCACTTATCTTTAACTTCCATTAACTATACAGGTGCATACTCAGTTAAATGTTACCTTTTCTGATGTTCTCTCCTCCGTGGATGCCTCGTCACTCTCTCCTCCCTCGTTCGTCTCCTCCTCTCCTCCCTCCTTTTCCTCAGCTCCTGTCTCCTCATTCCTTGTCTCCTCTCCACCCTCCTCTTCCTCAGCTCCTGTCTCCTCATTCCTTGTCTCCTCTCCACCCTCCTCTTCCTCAGCTCCTGTCTCCTCATTCCTTGTCTCCTCTCCACCCTCCTCTTCCTCAGCTCCTGTCTCCTCATTCCTTGTCTCCTCTCCTCCCTCCTCCATCGTCTCTTCTTTGGCTGAACTTTTCTCCTTTACTGTCTCTTGATCGCTGTCTTCAGTCTCTTCTTCATCCTGGTCTTTACTGCACTGACATTGGCACTTGCCTTCCTCTGCGTCCTCCTCCTCTGCACCCTCTTCCTTTGCACCTTCCTCTTTCTCCACACCCTCCTCCTCTGCACCCTCTTCCTTTGCACCCAAAACCTCACTAGTCTCTTCCTCCTCTTCCTCTACCACTTCCAGATTCCTCCCATCCTCCACTGCTTTCTTATCCTCTTCTTGCTTGACTTCAGTTTTCACTGGTGTTACTGGAGCCGTTTTGAAGAGCAAAATTTTGAGAAGGTCAAAGTCTTTATGTAAGGGGGCCTGGATGGCGTTGGGGTTGGTTTTGGGCGGAGGACGGGCGGCCATTTTCTTTGCGATGCACGCCTCACACGGGCAGTATTCGTCATCGCTGCGCTGGTCACTGTTTTCGCCGGTTAACTCTCCTTCACTCGAAGAATCACCTGTTTTCACATAGCGGTTTTTCATGACCTAGAAAAGGAAATAGCAGTTGTGATTTGTTTAATACATTAACCAAAATATTACTGATTACAGTCTAAATAATAAAAACCTGGGTGAAAAGTTGAACAAAATAAGCAAAAGGAAATTCTACAAAACAAGACAACACAGAATTCAATTTTTACATACACATCTTCAACAATATTGTGAACAACAATACATAATTTGCTCAGCCTAATTATCTATTAGTACTTGAACTGGGCATAAGTTTTACATCAGATGCCCTACCTGACCCACTGTCACTATTATCCTCCATTACTAGTACTTAATATGCAGTTATAATATTTTACATTGAAGGATAATTCACTAAACAAATACTAAAATGTATTCAACTGTGCAGTCTTTTTTTTTATTATCTAGAATTAGTATCCTCATAATAAAATGGTATTTTTTAAAAATTACCGACTTTTTTATTGTAGAATTTTGACCTTCGATTCCTGTTTACTCAATTTGCTAAATAAATTTGAACATTCAATTAAATTTAGTAAACCCCCAAATCACAACAGCATTCACTCAGGGCTTCACAAGATTGCTGATTTAACCAACAGAAACTTAGAAAATCCAACTGTGATGTCAGTAACAGACAAGCAAATTACGTAATAATAGAAGCAACAAGAAAACTCCACCAGCATAAAGTGTAGTTAGTTAAAACCAAAATAGCATTCACTTTATTTACCTTGAGTAGGCGTCTTCGTTTCTCTGTCATGACAGAGTCAGTGGACTGGTTGCCCCCTAGTGGTGGGTGGGGTACTTTTTTCCCCGCTCTGCTTTGTATCTTCTTCATCTCTTTCTCCACGCTTTTCTCTATCCTCTTGCTCACCTCATCCCTCAGCTCCACGATCATCCTGTCCAATATCAAACTATCCTCTAGGTCCCATTTAACTTTGAAATCCGCCATCGCAGTAACATAGTGGTTTATGAATTGTTTTTCTAGCTTTTTGAGAAGATGGAGGACCCAGACTGGATCAGGATCCTGGGATGGGCGCTTGGTAAGGGGAGCTCGCAAAACTGTGGGTGGACTTTCCGAGCTGGAGCATTCTTGTGTATCCTCCGGTGTTTCTAATTCATTATCAGTTGGAGTTTTGGAATTTTTATCCAAAGACGACGGACCCTCTGTAATTTTTGCATCATCAGGACTTTCCGAGACCTCCTTCGGTTTTATTTTCCCCCTCTTCGTCTTGTTTTGGTTCATCTTCCTGGTTGACATTGTCCTTCCCAGACCCTCCAGACCCACTGCTCATGTCCACCCCGGACGAAGACCTCGGAGGGGAGATTTGATCATTACCGTTGGGGTCTTTGGAGTCAGCTACGTCCCTTGGTTCAGCTAACCAGAGGGACTGAAGAATAGAAATTATGTCATCAAACTGTGGGTGTTGGTCCTTCTGTACGGAGTAACCTTGGTTTCCAGTTGGTTCTATGAGCTGGAGCTGGGTCAGGCAGTCCAGTAGCTCTTTGGCTGAAGCGCTAAGTCTACGGCCGTACACTGGAGACACCTATAAAACAAGAAAATGAACACAATTACCCTTCTTGTTATGGAACTCTGGGAAAAATAATTGAAAAATGTCTTCTATAGTTGAACTAAACAAGGATCAGGAAGGATAGAAAAGACGCTGCATTACTGCTTCTATTCATTCATTAGGCCTGTTTATGGATTTCAGCTCCCTAGTATATGCAAGACTTTTTTCATCATTCAAATTGTGTAATATTTTGTTGTAAATTGTTGATCGCTACAACAACGGTCCTAATTTTTCATCATTCTGAAACCCATGTTTGCATAGATTGATTTTTCCACAGTGTGTGATTGTGTTGTATTGTATTGAATTGACAGTATTGTGGCATTTATCATGTCCTATTCTATCTAAATTTTTAAATCGTGTACATCTCAGAAGAAAAAATATTATTCCGAACAAGGTCAGAGAAGTGTCTATGCCTTATTGAAATGAATTAAATTTATTAGTATTTTTTTTAAATCTATGTTATAATGTTGTTTCCTCATCACAAACTTTTGTTTCTGATTCTGGTGTAATTTGAGCATATATGGCTATTTAGGTCCTATATTATGCAAAATTTAGTACTCTTGCAAGCTTTTAGCCATGTTATAATGCTGTTACCTAATCAGAAACAGACCTGGAGTTGTGTTTTGTTTCATTCACATGATTATTACACAAACCCTGCATATTTAGTCCTCCACCATTTTCTCCACCAGTTTTTAAACTCTCTGCACCTTCACTAAAATAATTTGGATAATTTCAGATCTGGAATTGCCTATTTCTGTGGTGCAAAAGGTAAAAGGTGGCTGCTAACTTAAAAACTACCGCTTCATGACATCACAAGGTGGAACAGAGCATTTTGAGCTTTGGAGGTGTAGACAGACCATTAATAAAAGGTTACGCAAACATGTGTGAATGAAAAAAAACATAACTCCAGGTCTGTTTTTGATGAGGTAACAGCATTATAACATGGCTAAAAGTTTACAAGAGTACATTTTGTGTAACATAGGACCTTTAAAATGGCCATATGTTCTCAAGTTATACCAGAATCTCCAAATACATAGGGTTATGGTTCAAATTCTGATATCTTACCTCAGGCATACTCCGACACCTCCCCAGAGACGAACTGAGCAGCACCTTCATCACAGCGGCGGACGAGTGCCAGCTTTTAGGCAGCGAGGTCTCGGTTACCATGCCAACCTGCCGAATCTCAAACGTCTCAGCTCCTCCTTCCTCCTTTGCTCCCTTCTTCTCTCCCTCGCTCACTTCTGTCTTCACCTCCTCGTCTTCACCTTTGACCTTTGCCTCGTCACTGATGCCGGCCTCTCTTTCAGTATCTTCAGCACACTTGTCTTCGTCGTCGTCTCCCAGCGCCAGCATGTTGGCGGGAATGCGGTTGAGCCAGTCGCTCACGACCTCATTAGGAGACGCATTTGGTAGACAGGATGGCGTCAGCTCTTGCACCGCCTCCTTCTTGCTTCTTTGACTCTTTGCACTCTTGTTGCTGGATCTGCTGACCTTGGACCTCGGGCTTTCAGCTCTGACTTCCTTGGCTAAGTCCGCAGCAGAAAGGGAGTGCGACAGGATGCTTTCGCTGCATGTATCTGCCTTGCTGGCTGGTATGGAGACATTTTGAGGGCTTAGTGATTTAGTATTTACTTCTTTATTTTGTGAACTTTTGCCCTTACTTGAACTAGACCGATTTGAACCACCAGATTTCGGTCGCAGTCTACTTGGACTTTTTGAATTAGCTCTTGCTTGTGTCTCATCTTCCACTTTAGTCTCACTAGATTGTTCAGCACTTTCCTCACTTGCATTATCATCATCTTCATGTTTAGATGATTTTCTTTGGCTTTTAGCACTTGCATTTGACATTGCCGATGTTGTCCTATTATCTGGAGCTGTTAACTGGCCAGTTCTTGTCGTTGCAACTGATTTAATGCTTCCAACTGGGCTTGCTGTACCATTTGCATTTCCTTGAGTTGTTAGTTTACTACAATTGGTACAAGACTTTTTAGATTTTGTGCTTCTGACTGAGCGAGTGCTTTTGGTCGAACACGAACTAGCCGCTCTGCTTTTCTCGTCGCTCGCATCTTGATCATTCTTGTTTGCTTGTCCTGGTGTTTCAATAGTTGGGATGTTGACAGCGTTGGGAGCGGTTGAACCTACTTCTTCTGCATTTTCAGCGAACTTCAGGAGTAGAAGTTTTGGTTTTATTTCGCTGAGATGAAACATTGGATTCACCACTTTCTGATTCTTGATCTTCTGGCAAAACGAGAGAGACTGATGCAAATGAGTCTTCATAATCTAAATCTTCTCTTTTTTGGGAAGCGACGCTCGCAACCACTTCTGTGTCCTCTTTCATATCATCTATGTCTTTTTTTGTTTTTCCACAAGAACATTTTGACTTCCCAGATTTACCAGAATGCACAGATAAGGAGCTAGTTCCTCTTGGTTCTCCACTTTCTGGCATCAGCTCTTGAGCACAGTTCGAATTACTGCTTTTCGTAACTTGGTCTTCCAATATTTTTTCATTTGCATTATCATTTTCAGCAGCCTCCATTTTGGTTGAAACATTAGATTTCTCTGTTTTGTTTGATGCAGAACTCGCCGGTCTGTCATTGCTAAACACTTCCGGTGTCTTTATTGTGACTACATGAAATCTTGAAGACCTGTTAGACTTGACAGAAACAGGACTAGTCACCCTTTCGCTTGCATTGTCATTTTCCTCTTTGGCGTTGGTAGAAATTACAGTTTGATTTGACTTTCTGGACCTGACGGAAGCTGTTGAAATGTGGGTTTTACCAGACGTTGCACTCAAAGGTCTCTCCCCTTCTTGTTCTTTAGCTGGAGAAGCCAATCTTGAACTTTTATTTGTTTTGCTAGACTTGACAGATAGTACAGATTTACTTGATATAGCACTAGCAGCTCTTTCCTCTTGTTTTTCATCCCCATTTTTGTCAGTTTCGGTACACTTATTGGATTTTTTTGACTTATTTGACAGTGCGCTTTCTACTCTCTCCTCTCCATCTTTGTCAGCGTTTGACCTTGGAGACACAGATTGTTGTTCGGTTTTGTTGGTCGCACTTGACTTAGACGAGACTGCACTAGCTGGTCTTGTTTCTTCAGCATTTTCAGTTTTAGATTTTTCAGAAACGTGTGACTTGGTAGATTTGACAGATAGTACACTAGTAGGTCTGCTTTCCTTTGCGGATTTAGATTTTACAGAGACTACTGATCTTGCGTCTTCGTCCGCGTTTTGAACTTCAGTTTTGGTCGACCTTTCCGACTTGGCTGATTTGACTGATATTGCACTTGCAGGTCTACTTTCTTCTGCAGTTGTACTTGAAGTTACCTCAACATTTTCATTATTTTCTTCCACGTTTTGTGCTTCATTTCGAGCTGACTTTACCGAAACATTAGACTTTGCTGACTTAGCTGTTGCATTTGATTTGACTGAAATCACACTTGCAGCTCTTGTTTCTTCTTTCACGTTTTCAGATTTTTTAGACACATCCGATTTTACAGACAAGACACTAGAAGGTCTACTTTTATTTCCATTAGATTTTACTTCCAAATTTTGCATTTCATTTTCAGGAGACTTTTCAGAAACTTTGGACTTGCCCGATTTAACCGACATTGGACTTGCCGATCTACTTTTATCAGATTTAACAGATAAGACACTTGCTACTCTGGTTTCCTCTTGAGCATTTTGAGATTTTTCAGACACGTGTGATTTCGCACTAGCTGGTCTGGATTCATTCGATTTTACTGACAGGATGCTCGCCGCTCTTGTCTCCTCTTCTGGTTTTGTTGACTTAGAGCTAGAAGGCCTACTTTGCCTTCCAGATACATGGGACTTTCCAGATTGCACACTTGCAGATCTTGTTTCTTCTTCCTCTGTTGTAGGAGCCGTTACTTTTATACTTGATTTCTGAGAACAGTTAGTTTTAGCCGAAGCTGTGGACTTCACCGACATGGCGCTAGGTACTCTTTCTGAGGTATTTAGTGCCTCTGTGTCTTCCGTAGGGGTTGGATCGGGAACTGCATCGCAAGTCGAATTTTCTGACTTTCTCGATGTGACGCTTGGGCTTCTAATTTCAACAATTTCATCATTTTTGCATTCAGATTTTCTTGACTTACTAGACAAGACACTAGTAGCTCTTGCCTCCTCAACTTCTTCCTCCTCTTCAGTTTTGGATACTGCGCTTTCCTCTCCACCATCGCCATTGGAAATCATCGAAACCTCCCTGTGATAGGTCAGATTGCTCGTGTTCGAAAGCGTTGACACATCTGAACTATCGTCGTCGTCGTCTTTAACCGAATTTGGAGTTGCTGGTTTTGGCGATTTGTGATTCGACCTGTTTGAAGCCCTGCTATTGCAACCGGAAGCAACTTTGAGCTTCCAACCTCCACAGTCGGAGCATAAAGATGTTCCCGATTGCCTCGACCCTGCAGACAATCCACTGACAACTGTTTTAACGTCTTCAACCTCGTCATTTGCGGTTTCTTTGGTAGATTTGCATGAACTAGCTTTGGACTTTGCTATAGATGTACGTCCATTCACCTCAACTTCAGATGTTGAAGGACACCGGCAACTTGATCCTTCTTCCTCCTCACACCCGCCATTTTGTTTAGCTGAAGTATCGCCAGCTGGTACCTCATCATTTTGTACTTCAGACGTTTCTGAAACTGCGTCGCCACACCTCGACGCACTCGGTGGTAACTCATCGTCATCCTCTTTGAGCTCTTGCAAAACGCGCGACGAAGCGCTAATTGCGGACGTGGGGCGTTCGGCTTCCTCCTCGCCTAATTTGGAACTCTGAGGTCGAAGTTCGTCACCGTTTACAGCAACCTCACTCCGGCTACAGCTTCGGCTCACCGTGCTGACTTCCTGTTCGACTACATGCTGCTCCGTGACGCACATTTCCTCTTGGACGAGTTGGCTATGTTCGGATCCGTCTTCGCAGTTGGTAAGTCTAGCGCGGCATCTCACCACTCTGGTTGAATTGCAAGAAGAGGTTGAGCTAGAAGAATGAGTATGTCTTAAAATAGTATGGCTTTCAGTAGTCGAATGAGAAGGAGGAATTGGCTGTTTGTGGCTACGTGTTGGATTTTTCCACAGGTCGTACTCCTGATCTTGCCGATAACAACACGGACATGTATTAGCGTCTATTGCGCAATGCGAAGAGTAGTCCCCAGTCTCCGGTTCGTACGAAATGCAATCTGGATCTGAGCAACTTTCATGCTGAAGATAATGCGCTTGCCCTTGACTTAAAGAGCAGCAGTCGTTGGTCAGTGAAGGTGATTTTTTGATCTGGGTCGACCACTGTAAAGTTTCGTCGCTGTGGAGACGGAATCGAACCTTCATCTCGACGGACAGGCTGCCGTCTTTGTTGACGACCACGCGCTTCTCGATGTCGTCGTTCAGGATGGCGGCGCGGCCCTGGGACACGGTGCTGAGGCCGTAGGATTTCTCCGAGGACACGGAGAAGCGCGCCGAGCGGTTTGAAGAGTCGGAGCGAGGGTGGATGATGCTCTTCTTCGTTTCAAGGCCAAAGTTCACTGAAAGAGCACACACAAAAGCCAAATAAAAAACCTGGTAATACCACTTACCAAGATACAAAGGTGTTTAGAGGGAAATTTGAGTTGCTCAGAGGTATGCATTGTGACATTACAAGAAAAAAATCTTAAATAAACAGGCTAAATATTATTTAAATGAAGTTTAAAAACATAAAATCATCAAACATTATTGAATCCCAATTACATAACACTAAATTAAATATGTTTTTTAGGCAAGATGCAAGTTAAAATATAAAATTAAACGGAACATCTGAGTAGTTCATATAAATACTGTGTCAGACAAAAGAAATTTAGATTAGATACGATAACTAGATGGATAGAGGCAAGAACACTAAAGAACTTGCCTTGATAACTGCTGGATTAAATCTCTTATTAGAAAAATGTAACATAAAACTATTTCAAAATATAAATAAGATTTGATGGTAGGATGGTAGAAAGTGAAATGCTAATAGTTGTGTAAATTAAAGGTTACTGTGTCCACATCTGGCATATAGTTTAGTTAAGCTTCTTTTTTTAGAATGACCATACTGCTTGAACCACTCTTGCCGTGAATGTTATTAACTTAGAATTAATTTCAAATGGAGGCCTATCCCCAGCGCACCGGCACTTTTAACCAAACTGATTAGCACTTCATTTGCGTTGTAAGTGTCCTTCAACAGAGCTGAGCCTGAAGTGGTCCAATGTGAACAAGCCAAATTGTTTTGAATCAAGCATTGACTGATAACCTTCTCTCTCAAATTGATTCGATAGGAAAAAATACAGCACCAAATTCACCAAAAACACAAACAGTAAATAACAGTGAGAGTAAGTGCAGCATCCACGAAAAAAGCTTATCAAACCTCAGCTTGGAGTTGAACCGACAACCTTTCAAATACATGCAAATATATTTGAAAAAATAAACTGATATATTTAAGTTAATTTGCCCCAACAGTACCACTTTTTAATTAGTTTTATAAAGCAGGATGTAATTCATATTGAACAAATAGTGCATTAGGAGTGATTCAGGTTCATTTGAAGTTTATGTAACCACTGTTTTTTGAGTGGTCTTGTGCAATGAAGTGTGGGAGGGTTTTTGTTTAGTTTTTGTTTAGTTTTTTTTGTTTTCCTTTGCGTAATTTGAAAAAAAAAAAAAAAAGAATGATTCAGGCTTAGTAACCTCTTAATTAATACCCTAAACCCTAGCCTATTAATTAAGTAGTTACAAAGCCTGGACTGAATCATTATGTTTATGCGTAATATTTCTCGTGGAGGGTCCGCCAGCTGCTTGATTGCTTTGTCTAGAATGTTCCACAGTATAGATTAAACCTGTCTATAATGAGGGAGACAAGACATTACAGTTCAGATATGTGGTGAGTCACTCCTATTCACTTTTGAGCAACAGAAACACCCGTAATGAATAAATACTAGATGGAAATGTACCATGGAACATTTCTAACTAATAACATCTCCATTGTTATTATAAACCAGTACTGCTCCAGTCTAAGCACTTTGACCCTATATTGTATTGCAAAAGTCTAATGAAGTTGATGTATAATTATTTGATTCATGATTTCAATGTGATTTATCAAACCCATTCTTACCCATATTCTTCTTGCTGTCCTGCCCCTCGCTGTGTTCACTCGACCTGGACTGAGTTCCCTGAGGGGGAGACCGGGCCCCATTTCCCGGCGTCCTAGATCCCAAACCGGGAAGCTTCTCATCTGAACTTTTCCTGATGTAGTTCACCGAGAGCGGACTGAAGGCCTCTCGTCCCACGCACACCAGCACGTTGGGGCAAGTCATCAGGCTTTGAACGTTGTCAATCTGGAGACAAAAGGGAAGAAGTAGTTTAGTTTTGTTTACATATCAGGTATGAAATTATGATTGAATATATGAATTTTCTCCATGAAGATGTTATTTCTTTGTCTGTAAGGTTTATTAGTATTAGTGTTAAACTTTTCTATCTTCATGGAGAACAAACCAAACCAAGTTACAGGTCAGATCTGTGGAGAGGCGACCCCATCAGTCAGAATTCCTATTTTTCTAAGTATTTGTAGGTATTTTCTGCGTATTTTTGAGCCTGTAATTGAATAAGTGTAAAGTAGAGCTGTTTAATGTCATACTGTGGAACATTCCAGGCAGAAAACAAACAGGTGATGGACCCACAATCAAAAAGTTATACAGGTTAGTTGAATAAATTCTTGACTAATTACAAAATTTCAACGCAAGATATTTCAGAAATTAACCAAAGCTGTTCAATTCAGCAGTTACATCTTTTATCGTATTTATTATTTTTAAAAACTGCAATGTAGATTTGCCAATTTGAGCCAATGTTTGTGTTAGAAAGCAGAATGAGATCCTCACATTGGGTTGCCAGATCTTGTTACTAAAATCAGCTTTGCTCTGATATGATGTACCTTCACTATTTAACTGCAAGTATAGATGTGTTTGGTTTTTCCGTTTTTATGTTACAGCTATTATCTCCTAGATCTGAAAGCATAGTGTCTCGTGTTTTAGCTGCGTATTAGTCAGGCACCCATTATGTTATTTTAGTATATGACAATTTAATGACATTTTATGACAATTACCTTGCAGCCCGCAGTTTTCTAGTTTATTATCTAATCAGAAAGCAGAATGAGCTCCCCACTTTGAGTTGCAATAAACTTAATAAACCCGCTGGTGTAGGTGTGATTGTGATTAAATTTTTATGATAGTGGTAGCGATTGATGCGCAAATCCAGGGCTGAAATTATCCAAATGATTCTAGTGAAAGTGTATATGTGAGTAGAACAGAGTGTTTTCTGTTTGAGAGAAGAACTCAGCTTAAATATGCAGGATTTGTGTGTGAAACGTTAAACAAAACATAACTCCAAGTATGTTTGTGATAAGGAAACAACTTTATAACAGATCAGGGCCATTTAAGTATATATTTTCTTACCTTTCGTCCTTCCACTGTGTACAACTTGCGCACGTGGAACTGCATCACATCCGACGCTTCCTCTAAAAACGCTCTCAGACTCCGGGTCACTCTCCGGCTCAGAACCACGCTCCTCTTCACGGCGGGCTCTGAGTTTTTCACCAGCAGGAGGCGCCGCTGTCTGTACGGCACGTGTCCGGGAGGGGGCGTGGCGGAGGCGGACTCGGGCCTGTGGGGTCTTCGGCCGTGGTGGGACCAGACCCCGGAGCGTTTGGTGGCGATGTCCATGTTGATGGGTTTGGCTTGGCGGCGGTCGGAGCAGAGGTAACAGCCGCCGTCCTGGAGCTGCTCTAAGTGACGGATGGTGTGGGTCCCTCGAGGGGTGGTCACTGTGCGGACTCCAAAGGGCAACGGAACCTGAGTTTGGATAAAATATTATAGAATTACAATTTACAGTCAAGCATTTTATAATCAGCATGTCGAAGTTACTCCCGGTGAATAGCCGTAAAATGTACATACAATAAACTGTTGCTCAGAGTCAAGGATGGGACACACGCACTGATAAACACTATAAAAACTGTAAACACACACATCTCAGCGCTCTCCGACGATCCTTTCTGGAGGGCTTTTTTGCCACTTTCTGCCTATTACATTTCAGATTTATGGTCCTCTTTGACGCTTACACTAGAAAAAAAACTACCCAGGCTGGCGCCACTTAATGCCTTCACTCAGTTTCGTGTTTCTCCAGCGACTAGGTCAGGAATCAGAATACACTAGAGCGTTTGCAAGAACCCCGGAAGTGCAAGCCAATCAGCGTAGAGCCATACATTCTGTGTTGGCAACGATTCCCGAGATCGAGGATTTAAAGCCGGAACAAAGAGATTGTTTGTTGAATTTTATCAAGGGGAAAGACGTAATTGCCCTTCTTCCAACAGGATTTGGGAAAAGCTTAATATACCAGTTAGTCCCGTTTGCGGCACATTACATACGTCACAACCAAATAGCAAGGATGGGTTAAATAAAAAAAGTACCCGCCTACTGTTGAGCGAACAAATTCTAATGCTGCGAGGTCAGACGGTTTCCATGAAGTGAAACCGGCTGATCAATTAGGCCAGAAAAAAAAAAATCCTTACAGGTAGAATTCACTGTTATTATCTACTAACAGCTAGTGTAAAAAAAACCAAACTTTTGAATGAGATGAGAATGGGCTGTTACAATAACAATTACCCATTCAAAAACAAAATATGATATCTTTGTCAGCTCGCAATGGCATCATAAAACGAGAAGATAAAACCCTAGAATAGATTCAGAAAAGTAAAACTGAATGAATTTTTTCTCAGTGTCTTAAAAGTACAAAAGTCTTTGTTCTGCCAATGGAAGTTACAATTGTTCTATTTAAGTCAGGTAAAAACAGTAAAATGACAACCAAATAGAAACTAGAACTAATACAACATAAAAATGATCCTTTAATACTACGAATGTAACAATAACCGAAATATCATGATATCGTATCGTCAAAAGTCTCACAATAATATCGTGGACTGTCACAATATATCATATTACAAGTTCCTTGGCTTAAATGCCTTGTATTACAGTAACAACAACTTATAAACATCAGGAACTACAAATCCCATGATTCATTTCGGTGCAGACAACATGAAGAAATATGTTTTTTACTTGAATTCTTGGGATTATGACAGTAATAATTCACACCAAAATCTTGTCAAGGTATTTTAAAAGCAGAAATGTGTCCTATCTACAATTATATCAGCCTCTCCAAAATATCGCAATAAATATCGTACCATGAGATGCATATCGTGATAATATCGTACAGAGAGATTTGGATATCGTTACATCCCTGTTTAATACACTTTTCTGGTGGAAGGTCTGTCAAATGATTTTCTTCATGGAGATGTTATTGCTTTGTCTGGAATATTTCACACTGTGGCATTAAAGCTTTCGATCTTACCAGACCAGGCCAAGTTACAGGTCAGATCTGTGGAGAGGCAGTCCCGTCAGAATGCATGTTTTCGTGAGTATTTTTGAACAATAAAACCACCTGTAATTGAATAAAAAAGTAAGTAAGGTCGAGCTGTTTAATGTCATAAGTTGCACAGTGCAGCTTAAACCCATTTCAGTTTTGAAAATATTTTGTTAAGATTCTTTTTTATATTCTTTCTAAAGTTGTTACCAAAGCGCCAAGCCTTTGTGAACACCTGGCAGCGCAGTGAGAACCTCAAATCCACTTTCACTTCACATAATACCCCTTCACTGTCTGAGCTTCAAAGGGCTTTCCTGCGTCCCGTGGCTCTGACCTTTTGGGAGAGATCGTCCAGCAGGGCATCGAAGCATTTGAAGCTGCGTTTGTGCACGGCCATCTTGACTCCTCCGAACTGGCTGTCTCCGCTCTTGTAGAAGGTGATGCGCTTGGCCTGGGGGGCGCTCACGTGGGGCGGGCGCGTCTGGGGCGGCTGGGGCTGGGGAGGTGGGAAGGCATTCTGCTGTTTAGATCGGGGGTCCCATTTCCGTGCCTGGGCAGACTGCATTATAGTGCGTTGTCATGTAGTCCTGGAAAACAGAAGAAACATAAACTGTAATTTTTATGTGAGTAGGAGCGATTTTTACAGCTATTACGATTAATTCTATATAAAAAATAAAATACATTGGAACGTGTGATTGATGAAATGACACTTATGAGCTTTAAGCGATGGTAGAATAGTGTTACCTCATCAAAAACAGACCTGGAGTTGTGTTAGTTTCATTCACACTTGTTTGAGTAACGCTTTATTATTAGTCTGTCTACATCTACAAAGCTCAAAATGCTCTGTTCCACCTTGTGATCTCATGAAGCTGTAGTTTTAACCTTTAATCAATAAAGGGTAAATGCATTTTTTATGACAAGTATCATATTTTTATAGATTATAAGTTACACTTTTTTTCATCGTTTGGGTGGTCCTGCGACTTATACTCCGGTGTGTATTATATATTAAAATTTTCAGATTGACAGCCAAGAGAGGCTCTAGGCTTGTGTTTCAGTTTTCTGCGCATGTCTCCTGCAGAAAGAGCCTCTGTCCTGCTGCAAGTAATGAAATATTCAGCCGAAAATGGTAATCGAGCAGCAGAAAGAAAGTTTGGAGTGAGCGAGAAACTTGTGAGATACTGGGGTAAAGCGGGGATGGAGAACACAGCTTCACAGTAACCGGGAGGATGCACCATGAAACTTTCCTGGAAGTCACTGGATGGATTGACAAAGCCCAGACTTCAGTGACACCGAAACCATCCTGTCGGGATTCAGAAAGGCCGGAATAATTCTAACTGGAACTGATGCTGAGTCTGACGACAGCTACACAGAAGAGGAAGTGGCAGAGTTGCTCAGAAGTGACACCGAGGATGAAGAATTCAGTGGATTTAGTGATTTGGAGTGAGATGGAGAGTTTGGTAAACTTGTTCTGTTGTTTATGTTATAGTTTATCTGAAGAACTGTTCATATGTTCCTGGTCTCTGATTTTATAAAATAAATTTCTCTCAAAAGTGTGACTTATACTCTGGAGTGACTTACAGTTCGAAAAATATGGTAGTGCAATTGAATTTGTGATTTATGTTTTAATAATAGGATTCTGTTCAAAGTTCAGATTTTAAAAGTTTCCAGAAAGATTGACAAAAAGACTGAAATATGAACTGACAATCTAATACATGATTCACCTTTCACAGCATGTTTGCACAAATCTAAACTACAGGGTTAGCAGGTTTTATGCAAAATAAGCCCAGATATTTTGTTGTTTTGTGGAGAAAATTTGTGGTACTTCAAAAAATTGCAGCCTTTCTGATTTGCTAATTACGTTCATTCAAATTATGATTTTGATTTGATTCATCTTGGAGCCCTAATAAAAAGGATATTTTGAGAGATTTTCCATTGTAATACCACACCAAGGACATGTCCAGATTGGTTCTTGTTGATATTTCTTTATAGCCAGCTCTATGATCTGTCTCATGAGAGGTTATAATACTCCCTACAGCCTAAGACTAGATGATAGAAAATAGTTGGTATTATCTCCTTCTCTGCACAAGCACATTTTCAATAGAGCTCTAACCTGGGCAGCACCTGGAGGACTAAAGAAAAGAGTGAGGGGGAGGAGGGGCAGTTATAACACCATATACTAGTACACACTGGTATCAAAAAAGTGTTTAGTTGGACTTAAAAATACTTAAATTGGGCCATAGAAATAGTAGTACTGGTGGTAGTACTAATAGTTGGACCCGCAGAGTCATATTGATGCCTGAAGTAGGAATGGAGTAGTAGAAACAGATTTTTATTTATTTTTTAATTGGGCTGTTGTGTAGTAGTAGTAATGGTTGTAGTAGTAGCAGTAGTAGAAGCAGAGGCCGTAGTAGTAGTAGTAGTAGCAGTAGTAATAGTAGTAGCTGTAGTAAGTGTAGTAGAAGCAGAAGCAGTAGTAGCAGTACTAGTAGAAGTAGTGGTAGTAGTAGTAGCTGTAGTAGGAGTAGCAGGAGCAGAAGCAGTAGTAGTAGTAGTAGTACTAGTAGAAGTAGTGGTAGTAGAAATAGAAGAAGTAGTAGTAATAGTAGCAGCAGTAGAAGCAGTAGCAGTAGTAATAGTAGTAGAAGCAAAAGTAGTAGCTGTAGTAGAAGCAATAACAGTAGTAGTAGTAGTAGTAGTAGTAGTAACAGTAACAGTAGTAGCTGTAGTAGCAGTAGCAGTAGTAGTAGTAGTAGTAGTAGTAATAGTAGTAGTAGTAGTAGTAGTAGTAGTGGTAGCTGTAGTAGCTGTGGTAGCAGTAGTAGTAACAGAAGCAGTAGAAGCAGTAGTAGTAGCAGTAGTAGTAGTAGCAGTAGTTGAAGCAGTAGCAGTGGCAGTAGTGGTAGTAGTAGTAGTAATATTTTTAACTTCAAATCAAGAAACAGTATGAAAATAATTAACACACAGTACATTTTCAAAGTACCCTTTTCCGAATAATCCAGTTTGTATGCTTTTTTTTTTAACGTTATGCAATGCTTCTATTTCTAAGAGTTTGAAATTTCTTCGCTTTACAAAATCACCGTGGCTTTTATAACAAAATCCTTGGACAGTTATAGCTGGAGGTGAGGCAATTAGAACTACCAATGATTCTTCAACCTTCAAAGTACTTTATAGAGCCGAACAAAAGGGATTAATTGCAAAACACGTTTCAAGGCAAGTTACATCACACTTCAGTTCGGTGATATAGCACTGCTTTTATAAAATTCAAGAGGGGTATTTTACTTATTTTTACTTAGTATTTACAGTATTTAGATCTCCATGCTTGTTTTGAAAATGCTAAATTAACACATTTTGTATTTCACTTTCACTTTTGACGCTCCGATTCTCCCCTCCCTTTGCTCTTTGCACTAACTCACTCCCCCTTCAGAGCGCTACGACAACACCATCAGCGAGCGTTCCTGCGAATGAAACTGCAGCACATCGTATCAGGTTTGTGAAGTTTGTGTCATGTTTTTGCAGAATCTTACAGCTAACCGTAAAGAGGGTTTGAGTAGGGCCTGGGAGAGATCGCTAAATGATTCAAACATGTACGGATAACGTATAAAACCTCTTCAGGCATGTTTTTGATGAGAGAACAACATTAGAACATGGCAGCTCCAAAAAGTGGATATAACTTAACATAACACCCCCTCTTTAACCTTAAATCCTTGCAACATCGACAAAATTATGTATTAGTCTCTATTTTCTATCGCAATGAACGGTGTACACGATTGGTAAGAAGAGGCCGCACACAAGTCAGTGCATTTTCATAGACGTTTAAATGCGAGCTTGTACCATATTGCTATATTTAGTTATGAGCCTCACACACACACAGAAATCCTATTTGGAGAAGACGCAAAGATCTCTGGCCTGTTTCTAGGCGCTAAATAGTCCTGCTTGCATAATACATTTACATCGAGACTCAAACCTTGGGGGGTAAATAGTCTGTTCTATAATCGGAAAACACATATATTGTACAGTGGCTAAGAAAATACAGAAACTACAGCTAACCCTGTCACGATTATTACTATATGGATTTGTTGTTCAGTATATTTAGGGGCGTGTGTACATTTTCTTGTGTACATACAGAAGTTCCTGCTATTTTTATGTAATAACGTAAGATTTAAGCTGTAGAGGGTTGAATAAATAACAATCTATGACTAATTATTGGTTAATTCTACTATTTATTTGTTGCAGTTCATGTCTTTTAATGCTGCTGTATACTTAAAAATCGTTTACGTGGATGATCCTGCTTTATTGTTATGGTGTTAGTGGCAAAAATTATTGTTTATCGTATTGTAAACATGTCTCTTAAATACAGAATCTCTTAAATGTAAAAGTAAGTTGACATTAAAAACTAAACATACACCTAAGAGGAAAGTGATTTACCAAGTACGAGATAGAAATTATGTTAGAAAATTGTAAGAATTTGAGAATCAAGTCAATAAAACCAATATTACACACTTAGGGTTGCTGTGTATATCTTTGCCATACTTTAAATAACCCAAAAAACTACTATTACTACTACTACTACTATTACTATTAGTTCTGTTGTCACGATACTACAATTTCAAGCTCAGTTTTGATTAAACACACCCTTTCTTTCTGCATTAAATCACAGTACTTTCTTTTATATTCCCGTGTTGTCTTAAATCTGTGTAATCCCTCAGTTGTCAATATCTGATTTTCAATACTTTTAACAACCCCGACTACTACTAATACTACTACCTGCCCTATATCGAATCTTGCGGTGTAATATTTAAAGTACGACGTGTTAATTTGGGACTTTTATGGTTCATTTTGTAGTCTTATTATAAGCGAGACACACATAAAGTAAACAAAATATAGGTTTAGAGATGTTAATTAACTCAACCTTAAAATGCTGATTTGCTAAAGAGTAAGCTTAAGACTTTAGGGACCAACGTGACACCGTCTAATCCTCCTTTAGTCTGCTCTTGAATCTTAAGGCAAAAATACCACCTGCTTTTAACTCTATAGGGCAAGAAATTCAACTGGATCTAGAACTTACAATGCTTATTTTATTCACTTGGATATTAAAACGCATGTGTTACAGAGAAGTTGTAAGCATTTTTGGCTTGTGTTATCGAAAATAGTAACTTAATCCAATATTGTGCAAGGTTACACTGTACAGAAATGTTAATTTAAAAGCACTCAGAATACGAAGTATGGACAAAACCATGATTATGTCCATCTAAGCATAAGTAAAACTGGAAATTAACGCTTGAAATAAAGGTTACTTACATATTCGCGAAACATGGTCCAAAATGACATTAAAAAACACAATACTAGTCTGTTTTTTAGCCTTTTTAGCTTGAAAATTCTAGAAAACAAGTTGATTGGTTGAGAAATACGCTATATACTGTAGAGTGGTATACAGGTAGGATTCCTTGGTGCTAAGACTATCCTGTTAAAATGGCATCCAGTGAAGAGGGAGAGGTCTAAGGATAGAACCAAAAGCCTGATTAAGGGTAGACAGGAGGAAGAGGAGGAGGAGGAAGGAGGAGAGAG